TGCTCCAACACTGGATGTTTTTAAGAAGATGTTGGATAACCATTTGTCTAAAGTGGTGTAGGATTTCCTGCCTAAGCAGGACGTTGGACTAGAAGACCTTCAAGGTCCCTTCCAACTCTTGTTATTCTAAACTTGATCCAGATCAATTTATCCAACTAGATAAAAAAAATTCAAGCACTTGTATTTCAAATACAATAAAAGCAAATAAAATTATGACATCGAGCAGAAACAACGATGCAATATGGTAACTTTCCATCAAAAAACCTTGCAAATATGGATGGAGAGATAGTTACGGATAAGAATCGCTGCCTTTATCAATAAAAAAAGGCAGTGATACTTAACCGTAACTTTCTCTCAATTCGTATCATCACAAAAAGGTGTGTATCTGGAAGCATCCTTGATTGATTAATTACCAGCAGAAAAGGCAAAAATTTCTTTTAAATTAAGCTTTATTCTTCATTTGAAAATAGAGAACTTACTGTAATACTTGTGCTGTAACCATAACTTTCCTTCTAATAAATACAGTTAATTAGAGCTCTTAGATTCTTATTTTTGAGTGAACTACCCCCACTCACCCTACTCACTAGATGGTAAAGAGGGGAATCTGACAAGGAAAAGAAATAACTTCTTCCTTCTCCTTTCACTTCCATGGGGTGGATTAAATTCAGAACACCCTATCTTCTTTATTTCCCTTTCTCTAAAACAGCCCTCCAATATCTAAAGGTCATGTTTACATTGCACACTAAATCTAGATTTATTGAACCATTGTTGACATCCTAATTGGGTTGGGCTTAAAAGCACAGTAACAAGGCAGGGTAGCTATCTCGTGCAAGAGATTGATTGATTATGTGCTACGAAGTCGTTGTCAATTCTCAGCGACCACATAGATAAATTTTCCCCAGGATGATTTCAACCCAGTCTGGTTTTTCGTGGTGCGCTCATCACCACTGTAAGTGTATTATATTAAATAAATACATTCATCAGATTATATGCAGGGCATATAATCTCCTGGGGCCTCAGGTTGGAAATCTGTATCATAAATCATAGTTTACAAATCACACAAAATGTTAAACCATAAGCAAGAACCCGTTTGGGATTAGAACACTGTTAGCCGGGTGTTGTTTTTTTTTGAACAAAGGACATATAAGGAGAGAAACATGTTCTCTGGGAGCAAATGTATGGGGCAAGTAGAACCCTAATTACAGGTATTTAGAACAGTTCATTTAGCAATTGTTCAAAGATACACAACAGTGAAAAAAAGTGACTTACAACTGGTCCTCATGCATACATGAGCCATGGTGGTGCAGTGGTTAGAAGGCAGTACTGCAGGCTAATTCTGCCGACCGGCAGCAGTTTGATTCTCATTGGCTCAACGTTGACTCAGCCTTCCATCCTTCCGAGGTGGGTAAAATGAGGACCAAAATTGTTGGGGACAATATGGGGACCATGTAAACCGCTTAGAGAGGGATGTAACGCACTGTGAAACGGTATATAGGTCTAAGGGCTATTGCTATCTGACTGTTGTAACATACCCATGGTCATGTGATTTGTAAACTATGATTTATGATACAGATTTCCAACCTGAGGCCCCAGGAGATTATATGCCCTGCATATAATCTGATGA